CTAAGGTGGGCTACAAGCCTTTTGTGTTCTGTCAGCATAAGTGTGTTTTGTGTTTGTCTTAATCAACATCAGATCAACTGTGTAACTTCAACTTAATCTGGAAAGTACCCTCCTAATACACACTTTTCTGAGGATAATGAGCACCGTATGTGGAGCGTGCAACAGTCCACCCAAACACTTCTTCATATCTCCTCTAGGGTCAGAATTTACATGAGTCGAGCTTAGAGTCACATGATAAAGACATGTCCTGGCTAGCTTCAAAGTAACAGGACGGACATGTCTGTTTCCCCCTGATTCAACTAAGGATGTTTTAAAACCTGCAGCCTAAATTTGGTCCGGTTTGAAATAGTATGAAAGCACACTAGGACTCTAATGTATACCAAACTATTGCAGCCTGAAAAGATGGTCTCGGTTCAGCTCCAGCTGAACTCTGGTGTGATATTTTATTATATATTACTGGCATAAATGACCATGTGCAGATACTCCTCTTTTATCTCCTCTTTTGCCTCATATTATTCTAACTTACTTTATTCTGATAAATACAATTTACAAAATACATTTGATTCTTCTTGTATATAACATGAGTGCATGCATTTCTTTATCTTTTTTCTCATTGATGCTCGATGCAGAAGCTTTATTGTTTACTCAGATTTAACATGAAACATGGGTGCATCTCAGAGTTTCATTTCTGGTAACTTGACCATACCTTTGGCAATACTCGGAATCAGAAAAAATATTTCATACAAGCAACAGAGAGTAAAAGACATCCCAGAAGTGCTTAAAGTTTTATGGTAATTAAACTGTTAGAGTTTTAGATTTGGAAGGAGGCAACTGTTTTGCTTCCATTTCTTTAATGCAGTATATGAAAACAATGAAATACAGCATAGTTTTATGGACCAAAAAATGTGTTTCACCATTTCCATTCGACTATCCCTTGTAATCAGTATATGATCATGGAAACAAAAACTTTTGTAGGAGCTTGTTGATAAAAATCTCTTTAAATAATTAAAAGTAAATCTGGCTACTGGATGTCAGAACATGAAGATCTTATTGTTAAAAGCTTTGCATAGCACTGTTAACAAGTCAGTAAATTGGTATGAATCTTATGCTTAAATAAGTCTTGATGAAATGTGCAAACGAAAAACAAAAAGCAATCCCAAGTTATGCTGCATCTTCAAATTTGATTTATTTGATATCTGGAGGAGAGAACACATAGACAACAGAAGAGACAGAGGTTGAAATAAAAATAAAACCTCTTATCTTTATTTGTTTATCGCTACCAAATAAACACTTAATACAGAAATATGTTAAACCTTCCAATAGAATTTCATATTCATTTATTTCTTTTTCCTATCATGGCTACTTAACAGTCATATTTTCAAAACGTATCAAAGAAAGTCTCAGGTTGTTTGTTTAATATTAGAATTCTGTCTGTGATTATATGATCTAATAAAACTCACTCTGCTCTGAGAACTCTAAGCAGCCATTAAAACATGGGCAGTAAAGGCAGCGAGTACCTGCTGAGCAATGAATTGCTCCCTGACGGAGCTCTGCAGCATGTGTCTCATAATCTATTTTATAAATATATCAGAGGGACAAATTAGGAAGGTACATGGACATCATAGTCAGCCAATGGTTCCTCGGAGTTCAATCACTTCTGATACCCAATGATCACTTATGGGACTTTAAAATGTGAATTTGGTCTTGATTTTTAAATGGAGCAAATAATCAAAATAAGTAACACTCAAAATAGTCTGCATAAATACTGTCCGCATTTCATTACGTTTATTCAGAATCACTGTGGAAGAAAATTACATTTTATTTAGAGCTTTGGTATCGAAGGGCAATTAACACAAGATGCCTTCAGTAATTATTAAATGGTTGTTCATATGGTGTCTGGTCTAGAAATTGGTACTTCTCCAAAGAACAGTATAATAATGTTCTATTAACTTCAGTTGGCTTTTTTATTTCTGTTATTTTGTCAAGTGTGTTTCAAAAAGAACTGCATAACAGACGATAAAAGCGCTACTGCAGGTCAAACTACAAAGTATAACCTCAGCACATCTTTGACAAACTCTGGAGAGAAAACTCAGTTCCGTATTTGAGGTCAAATCAATTCTATGGACTTAAAATTGGATTCACATGAATAGAACAAGTAGAAGAATAGCATTTTTGATTTTTTTTGTTCCTATTTTACATTGTTCTGTAGAAGCCTGGTGCTCATGGGTTCTAGCTCTCACAGTGTGACCTTTTTTTTCTTCAGTGGATTGCCCTGATTATGCAACCTGTGAGTATTCAGACTTGTTCAAACGGTCTCCACAAGTTGGCTCACCTGCTCTGTTTAATACTGTGCTTACTTTTTCTATAGAAATAACTTCCATGTAAAATTATGATACAAGTAACAGACAATTGATTTTTAGCTGATGAAATGTCAAATAAAAATGCAGTTATTTCATGCCAAAATGTGTATTTCAAAGAGGCCTCAACTTCCACTCTGAAACTTGCACTACAAAGAGAGTTTAGAGATTTATTGAGGTCAGTTTTGGATTTTAAGCATCACAAAGCTGGTTCAATTCTTTAATGGTTATGTCACCATGGAAACATGCTGAAAACCCAACCTATCTTAGATGCAGGTTAAAGATCCTTGCATGGAAGTACCCCTCCCATCCAGTCGAGCCTCAAATGTGTCCTTTTGCTCCTCCTCGTCAAGTAACAATGTTATGTCTTAGTTTTTTTCTTAGAGATTTCAGAGTAATGGACAGAGGTTTTTATAAAGTTTGGCCTTGGTAGACTTTTAAAATATAAAACATTTTTTTTTTAGTTATGAGAGAAAGAGAAGAAATTACAGGAGAAATTGCAAGAAGAACAGGACTTGGAATACAGAGTACGGGTAAAAAGTATAGAGAGTAAAGAATCCGGAAATAAATAAGGAAGATTCAGGCATTGGGACAGGGGTGGAAAATAACATAACAACCAATCAGGGGCAAAATAAAAGCATTGAGTTTTGGGAGGAAAACTAATTAACACTAACAATACAACTTAAATACTAACATACAACTACTAACTAAGGGAAACATCCATCTTCTTCTGCTTATGTGTCAGGGTCACAGTTGGGCTGGTGCCAGATGGATGGTTGAACCCCAGAAGAGTGTGGGTGTAAAGCAGGGTAAACCTAAGTCAGGTCACCAATCTATCACAGGGCAGAGACATACAACCGTGAATACACACCTAAGGGTAATTTAGCCGGCATGGTTTTGGACTTTAAGAGGAAGCTGGGGTGCCTGGAGAGAACTCAGAAGATGCAAACTACTGAGAAAATCCATAGGCTGGGAAAATAAACCAATGTGCCACCAAGCAGCCCTACTAACAGAAACATCTAATTTATTTAGTGATTAAGTATCTCATAGAAAAAACATCAAAGAGTTAACTTGATGTCGCTATTCCATGCCTGAACAACCAATTCTCCTGCCCTAAATCCAATCCATGGCAACTGTTATGTTCTGTACTATATTCAGCCATTTCACTTTCCTGTATTTGTCGTTTTTTCCTTAGTTGGTCCCAAGCTTGTTTTGTGGACTTTTTGTGGACTCAGCAATTACTGAGTAAATGACAAACTAAATTCACTATTAGTGACATAACTGACAAGCATGGCAACAACAACACAGAAATGCAAACACCAAATAATTTCATCACTGATAACCACTGTTGTCATTCTGCCCTCCCTTCTTGCACATTTGGCATGAGATTGAAAAAGAGATTAATTTTAAAAAACTGACTTGGAACTAATTGGCTTGGGAAAAAAAAAAGAAAGAGCTAATTATGTGAGTTAACATAACTACGAAGTGGTATCATGTCTTGACATTAAACCGAGTTTTTACCAAATTTGATGCTATTAACACAGTTAAAGCTGAAAATTGTGGGAGAAATATCTATGCAGTAAAAAGTTGGCCTTATGTACAGCAGAAAATGGCAAAATGTAAATTTTGGTTAACAGGACCCAAGTACAGGTGGAACCAGAGGTGTAGAATATCTAATAATAAAAACTGTGAAAGATGAACAGAACACTGGTAAGATTTTGTGGAACAAAAGGAATGGAGCAGAAGAATCCCAGAGTGACCGAAGAGAAATGTTTAACTACTGAAGTAGGAAAGGAAGATGCACTGCAAAAAAAATCCTACCTAGAAAGTAAAAAAAATTCACATTTGGTGTATTAGGACACAGACGTCCATCCCCGTGAACACTGGGACGTAACTCAATGGTAAATTATTCTTATTTTCTTATTTTAACCATCTACTAGCTGCGACATATGAATCAAGATGCTATGACCAAAAAAATTTGATTGACAGATGACAGTTGATATTTGTTTGGCCGAATTTAGGTGTAGAAGCTGACATATAACTAACTTGCCTGCATAAGATAACGAAAAAACCCCACAGATTTTAAGGCAGGATTTATTTTTAAATATAAATTTTCTAACTTTTGGGACAATATGGTTTGATAAAGAGTACATTTATATACCTGTTCAAGATTTGAAATTTAAATATGACTTCCATACGACTTTAAAATAAGATAATTCTATAATATTCACTTGATATAAGACATTGCAATAGTTTTTTTCTTATTTAAAATGTAAAATGTCTTGTCTCATTGGCAAAGTGTCTAACTTACCTCATCAATTCAAGAAAAACTGCAATTATTTTAAGAAAAATTACTTTTTTAGATTTCAGATAAACTGAGGGGAGGAGAAACATTTACATGACTGCAGCAGAACACAAGGAAATACCCTTTAAACCTAAACACAACAAAATAATCACATAATGCAAGATTTCACAAATGACAATGAAACTAATTAGGGCAAGAGGAGAAAGAAAAAAAAAAACTCCTGAAGGGAAAAAAAACTCAAAACAGAACAGCCAAAGATCATAACACAAAAAAGATCACAAAAGGCTGAGGGTTATTTTTAAAATGTCTTTTTTATATTTATTTTGACAACATCCGGTAACAAAGAATGGCAATTCAACATGCACAAAATAAAACACTAATATTATCCTCTTCCACTTTAAACAGTCTTTTAGCAAAACATCTTCACAATAATCTCTGTTCCACTGAGGTAAAACCTAACTTTCCAGTAAAATCCCCTTTGTTTTTTAGGCTGTTGCACAGTACAGATAACATACAGTGCATGTTAAAGTTTGACAACTCCTAACCACAGATAAAGAAAGATGAAGAAATACAAAACCTCTTCTTGAATTCTACCTTTTCTCTTCTTATAAAGCAAACATGTAACAACGGGCCACTCACACAAATCAACAGTTAAAGCTCAAACACAATTGCCTTTAAAAAAACAAAAAACAAAGAGATTATAATCTACAAACATCAATAAGCTTGAAAAAATAAGTAAAACAAAACATTAAATTAATCAGATAACATTATCTTGTTAATGCTTATCAGTAACAGATTGTTAGGACAAATAAGAGCAAAGTGGTGGTTCAACTGGAATGTTAAGTAGTTTTTAGGTTTGTGAGGACACACAAGGATGAATAGGAGAGGGACTTTCAGTCATCTTAGCACATTAAAACTTAGTTCAATCTAATAAATCAGTTTTAGTACTGGCCTACACCAGATAATGCTACTGTTAGTCACTCGAAAGCCTTAACATCTAATTTGAATCATTAGTTGATCTCTTTTCCAACATTTTCCCATCCTGATAGGATGGATGGTTTTCGTGCTTGTGATCATGGTGACGGTGGCGGTGGCGTCTTGAGGGAGTTGGTGGATCCTCCTTGGCTTCCACTCATTGTCGCTCCCTGTCCGACCCACTGGAGTGCAAGACAGAAAAACAGGAGTTTGACTAATGTTGAACAAAAAAAACAAGAAAGTGTTTGAAGTGACACAACCAGTATGAAGTCAGAGCACTTTCTTGAGTATGATAGAATGAAAATATCATTCCTCTTTATTTTAACCAGACATGTACACCTTTATGTCACTGATTCTAATTAAGATCTGACTTCCTGTAAACTGCACACTAGATTGTGCAGGTCAGGAGGAGTCCTAACAGGTCTTAAAACCTTATGCATGCTTATATATATATATATATATATATATATATATATATATATATATATATATATATATATATATATATATATATATTAAAGATAATGAAAAGTCAAAACATTTTCCAGTTTTCAGATTTTTTTCTATATCTCTTTCGTCATAAGCTCCAAGTCTTTGAGTTTGGATTGCTCTTTGCCATCACCCCAATTGCTCGCTCCCTCTATTGATTTTCTATCAGGTTTTCCTTAGGACTCTGCATGGGCCACTCCTCAACCCTAATATTACTTTCAGTTAATAGATACATGCAGGTAAAATATAAAAATTGCTTTTTATCGAATTCTTCCAGGGTTTTTTTTTCTTTTCTTTTTTTGTACTTTTACCACATTTTCAGCAAAAAAAAAAAAAAATCCCAGTTAACCTCTTAACATCCATCTCATTTGGTAACATTCTCACCTATTTTGCATCCCTAAATGGTAAAGCAAATAACTTCAGAACTGTAAGCCCAAATTACATGTGTGATACATTATTTGAAAGCTAACACCCTGTAGTTTGTGAATATATATAATATATATATAAATTAAAATTGGGTGAGTAGAACACAGACCAAGCTGCATCAGTTCCAACATGACTCAAAGCTGTCTTTTTTATTCTTGGAAATGATAGGTCTTTTTGAACAACAGTAATAAAGACATTATTAAGAAAGGCAGGTCTCATTGTATTATATTTGTATGTAGTACACTGAAGTCTGAAGTCCTAATGTGACAAACTGTGAAAAAGTTGAATGGCTGAGAAACATTTTAGTTTTCCAATGACCCTAAAGTCATTGGATTCAGTATTTTAATTCTCCTGAGATAGGATTTCATATCATTTCACTACTTCATTTGGAAAGCTTGTCCCTCTTTGCCCTAAAACATAATAGTTATTTAACAATTGGATACACAGACTTTACCGTTAATACATGTTTCCTTTTCAAATGGTGATGAAATATAAAATATAGTTGAGCATATGAAGGGACCCTTTGCAAATAGTGAAAGATTTTGTAATGTTACTGTAAAAAATAAACATTTGAGGTTCTCTTGCATAATTTGAAATTCTGTTCTATTTGTTGGCATTACAGAGATACACATGTAGCAGTAAAATATTTCCATATTTGTATACAAATTGGACAATGAGTGTACAATTTCCAGTTCCAAATCAAATAAAGTATAATAATTTCCTGCACATCATCATCACCATCATCATTATTAGATTTTCCTTAATTAGTTGAATAAATGTCTCATTTACATAAATAATCAATTGTTTTTCATGAAAAATGCTAGAATGTATACTTTAATAATCATTTACCTCTCAACCCATTTTATATTGACTGATTCTGATATTAGTCAGCCACTAACCTTTTGGTTTCTGTCTTTGCTTTCATTAATATAATTTCCAGCTGCAAGCAGATTGTGAAGTTAAAGCAAAGTTTTGATAAATTTGGTCATATTGTCCTCAGTAACCACTGAGGATTGTCAACAAGAAGCATTTTTAACCCTCTTTGCTGTGAAACAGTTTCCTCTGGTTTAATTTCAGTGTATCTTACTGTAAATCTTTAGTTATGTTCCTGTTTGATCTGAATTCAACCATCCCAGTAAAAGGCATCATTCCCTGTAGATATATTCAAACCTGAGCCAGCCCCCTGAGACCGCGAAGCCAGACTGTATCTCATAGTTGGCATGTTAGCATCTCTCTCTTTTAGCAGACATCCCCTGAACTGAACCCCTTTGTGATTCAGTATCTAATTCATGTGGCAGAGCAAAGGAAACCAAGCGTCTTAGCTTCTTCTATATAATTTTATTTCACCTAACAGCATGAGAACCTGTTGGAATTACTGAGGGCATCTCTGCTGTTTTTGGTTGTGAGTGCATGTTTACATCTGTGGCTGAAGAGATTGAGCTGATGAATTATTCATGTTTTCAGTCAGAAGTTCAAAGCTGCTCTTAATGGTCTAACAGGCCTTTAGTGTCTGTGTGTGTTTGTATTTGTGTGCCTTTGCTCAGTGCATTATATGTTACATACTGTAGGTAATGGTATAAACACAAAAGAGTGCCATGAAAAAGTATTTACGATTTACATTTTCTTGGATTTTGCCAAATCACAAGAACAAACTTCAACATTTTTTGAGGATTTTATGTCATCAACCAACACAAAGTACAACACATTTGTGAAGTATATAAAAAACTGAATACGTATCAGAAACAAAATCAAAAGTGTGTTGCATTTAGCCTAATTTATTATGGTAACACTTAATAAAATCCAGTGCAGCCAATTTTCTCAAAAAGCCCCCTCATTGGTAAAAAGCTTTCAGCTTTGTATGGCAGAAAACTAATCATCACAGAAAAGTTACCCTAAACATAACATTGACTTGTGCAGTTGGCCTATTCCAGCAAAAACATTGAAGCTTGTCAGATTGTGCTTCTGGAATGAAGCTTAACACAGGAACATTCTGTGAGGTGAATTTCCCTGTGTTAACAGGTAAAATTTACAGGGGCTGTAAGGGTTAACATTGCGCTCTAAGCTGGATTGTCACGACATCTGAGTTTTCAGTCTCACAACAAATCCATCTTGAAAGACTCCAGCTAATACGTCCGTCTTGTAACAATTGTTAAATCAGTCTTTTCCCTATTATTATGTCAATAGATTCTTTTTACAGTGGCAATGGGAGGCTATTATATTGAAATTTTGCAGTGTTGTGTGACTCATGACATATCAGCATTGTTTTTTGGGGCGGGACATGTAGGAATGACGACAGTCAGAAGGGCCTTGCTGGGGCATAACAAAC